GGACGTGTTCAGGCTAATGTACAGAATGGAGTCTTTTTCTTGGTCCTACACTATCTGTCGAATAAATTCTTGGTGGTATTGCCATGTATGACAATCTCTGGTTATTGTCTGTTCTTGTTGGTTTTCATTCCAAAGAACTCCCTTTAAGATGTTTTGAAGCACTGGATTGGCTTTGACAAAATCTCTAAGCTTCTATTTATCCTGGAATGTTTTGATTGCACCATCATTTTTGATTGACTGTTTTGTGGGATAGATGATTCTTGGTGAGCAGTTTTTTTTTTCCTTTTAGGGTTTTATATATATCTCCTCATTGCCTTTTTGCCTGCATGCTTTCTGCTGAGAAGTCAGAGCTTAATCTGATTTGCTTGCCTTTGTAGGTAACATTTGTCTTTCCCCTGGCTGCTTTTAGGATTCTCTCCTTGTCCTTGATTTTGGAGAGCTTGATTATATGTCTTGGTGATTTTCTTTTGAGGGTCTATCCTTCCTGGGGTCCGTTCAGCTTCTTGAATGCTTATCTTCTCATCCTTCAAGATGTTAGGAAAGTTTTCTTCCAGAAGCTCTTCAACTATCTCCTCTGTGGACTTCTCTGATACTTTCTGTTTTGGAATGCCAATAATTCTTAAGTTATTCCTCTTCATGTTATCCAGCATGAATCTTAGACTAGCTTCAGATTTTTTAAATCCTTTTTTCTTCTTGCTCTTCTATTTTAGCAGTATTGATAGATTTGTCTTCCAGCTCATTGATTCTGCCTTCTATCTCTTCAATTCTACTCCTTTCCCCTTTCAGTGAAGTGTCCATTTCTGATATTTTATTATTAATAATCTGGACTTCTTTTTATAGGTTTTGAATTGTTTCCAATGCCATATCTATCTTGTTTGATTGCTCCTGTAGCACTTTCCTGACTTCGTCCTTATTTTCCGCCACCCCTTTTTGCAACATTTGAATTTGTTTCCATATCATTCTTCTGAATTCCCTCTTAGGCAGATCCAGAGCCTGCTCTTCTACTGGAAAGTCTGTTCATTTGTCCCAATTACTTTTGTTTTGTTTTTTACATGTGTTGGGATCTTTAATTGTGTTTTCTTGGACATAGTCAGTAGTTATGTGGGTTTTTAATGTTTAAATGAATGTATGTTGTTTTGTTGTTATGCTTACTAAACATCTCCTGGTGGATATGATCTGCAGATAGGCTTCCCTTTTCATGTGTAATGCCTAGCAGCTGGTATTGGCTCTTGTCCAGATGGTACAATATTATGGGGTATGCTTGTAGCCTGGCTATATGAGCACAGTTGCTGTCTCTTCTTGGGTAACATAGGGGGAGAAAGCTTCCCTTCCCTGAGAAAAGAGTGAGGCAAAAGGACTAAAGACACTATCAAATCAGAGACAGAAACCACCAATCAAAAACAAAAATAAAATTGTGATTGAGTGTCCAGTGGCCTTGCTGTTCAGGGAAAGAAAAAGGGTCCCACTGTGGTCAACTTTGGGTTTGGGTCTCAGAGTCAGACATCATAAGAAACAGTCTGTGGAATCCTCTCTGTGCCATGGGAAAACTGTGGGTATAATACTGGACCCTTTTTGGGGTGTGCTCCTGCCCACCTGAAGTTGTCTGGGCTGGGCTGTGAGGTCACTATTGGAGTGATGAGGAAAGAGATGTGAAAAATGAAAAGTGAAAGATGAAAAATTGGTCACACCTCTCCTTCCAGATGCTCAGCTCCACAGCTTCTAGCTCTGGGTCACTACCTCTGCTTGGCAGTCTTATTCTGGTTTTTGCCTTAAAGTTTATTTTCAGAATTCAATATTGCTACTCCTGCTTATTTTTTATTGCAGTTACCTTGATATATTTTTCCACCCTTTAATTCTTAGTCTATTTTTGTCTTTGTGTGTCTCTTGTATAAAGCATATTGGAGGACCCTACTTTTGTATCTGTTCTGTTACACCTGTCTCTTGACTGGTGCATTTAATCCATTGACATTCAGTGTATGTATCGATAGGTATAGATTAATAGCTGTCGTTTTGCTGTTTGATTGTGTGTGTGTGTGGTGGTTCTGGTTTCCTTTTTGTTGTTATTTTGCATGTTTTTCAGTGCTGAGTTCATTTCTTATGCTTCTTCTTGTCAATTTCTTCAGAGTTTTAATGTTTACAAAATCTATTTGGCTTTTCCTTTTCTTGATTTGATGTGAGGATGTATCAAGTTTCTTTGAGGTTACCCTGAACTTTATTAATTTCTTCCTCATTTTAGAAGTCTCTTTTATCCTGAAATACCTGACCTTATCTCATGGACCTCTGTAACTATACTTTTCCTTCCCTTTGCTTTCTAGTTATCCTGACCATAATGTAAAATCCAGATCACCTATTTTCAGCCTTGTAATGCTGTTCTGCTCTAGATACTTCCATATCAGGTCTGAGTTTTGGATGGTGGTGCCACATATGTCAGTCTCTGGTTGTTCTCTGCTCTTGCTGGTTCTCAGTCCAAAGACCTCCCTTTAGTATCTTTCGAAGTGCTGGCGTACCTTTCACAAAATCCTTTAATTTTTGTTTATCCTGAAATGTTCTGGTTTTGATGTCATATTTGATGGACAGCTTTCCTGAGTATATGATTCTTGGTTGGCAGCATTTTTCTGAGTTGTGCATATGTCTTCCTATTGTTTTCTTGCCTGCAGGGTTTCTGCTGAGAAATTAGAACTTAATCTTATTGGTTTTCCTCTGTAGGTAACACTTCCGTATTCCCTAGGTGCTTTCTGTCCTTATCTGTGATTTTGGAGAGTTTGATTATGATATGTGTTTTTTATTTTCTTTTGAGGTCTAGCTTCCCTGGGGTTTGTTCAGCTTCTTAATTGCTGATCTTGTCCTTCAAGATGTTAGGAGACTTTTTTTCCAGTAGCTCTTCAGCTATCTTTTCTATGATTTTCTTTGTCTCTTCCTGTCCTGGAATTTCAGTGACTTTTAGGTTATCCTTCTTCATGTTGTTACACATGAATCTTAGGCTTTCTTCAGATATTTTTTTCTTTTTTGATTATTCTCCTATCTTAGCAGTATTGAAAGATTTGTCTTCAAGTTTGCTAATTCTGGCTTCCATTGCTTATGTTCTGCTCCTTTGCCCTTTCAGTGTATTGTCCATTTCTGGTATTTAAGTATTATCATCTGTGCCTGTTTGTACATGTTGCATTGTCTTCAATGCTGTATCCTTATTGTTTGATTGTTCCTGTAGCACTTTTCTTACTTCTTTATTTTTATCTCCCTTTTTGGGAACATTCGGATGTACTTCAATATCAATCTCCTGAATTATTTTTTAGGTAATTCCAGTGCATCTTCCTCCTCAAAAGCATTTTCTAACTCCTCCTCTTGGTCATGTGTTTGAGCTACTCTGTCTTGTTTCTGCAGGTGAGCAGAAAATTTCTGCTGCCTTTTAGGTTTTGTGATGTTGTTGTATATGTATTAATTTGATAAATGTATATTGGTATATTTGTAAACACCTCCAATTGCCTCTTGGTAAGTGTGATCAGGAGACAGTGTTCTCGCTTCACTTTTTGTATAGTTAAATTCAGTGTTTTTATCAGTTGATGGTTGCAGACACTGTTCTGGTATAGTATAACATCTGGTATTGGCTCTTGCTCAATTGGTTGGATTTTAAAGGATGCAGTTGTAGTTTGGTTGTGTTGCTCCAGTTGCTGTCTCCTGTCGGATGAAGCAAGAAGAGAAAACACTCCCACAAATCACCTGCCTCCTTTCCTTTCTCCTTTTTCTTTTTCCATACCCAGTGTATCTGTGCAGCCTCTTCCCCTAGTGAGAGTCAGTCTAGGGCTGGCCAAGATCAACTTTGCAGATTTTAATCTGAGCCTGCCCTAGTGGGGTTATTGTATCTAGTTCCTCCCTTGGTTTCAACTTCTAAGTGGCTCCAACCACTTGGAAACCAGGAGATTCCCTGTGGTTGTACTCTGGTCAAGAAAAAGGGAATACATAAATAAATTGCACCTTTGTCTCAGGTAGGTTTTTGCCCTTCAAATATGTTTTCTCTTTCTATGGCCATTCATAAATGAGCTCTGGTAGCGTAGTGGTTACCAATTGGGCTCCAAACCACAAGGTCAGCAGTTCAAAACTACCAGCTGTT